GCATTTGATACATTTATCTGGTATGGATTTATAGTGTAATGATTTAATATTTTTCTCGCATTTAAATATATCAAATATAATACAAAAGACTTAATATTTTTACAGTAGTTTTAATAGTAAACTTTAAATTTTATTATTAATGCGGAACATGTAAACAAAAAATTATGCACAAAAACATTAAATTGATATTTTTTGTTTTATTTAATTAAAGTAAAATTGACTATTAAATTGTAAAAAGAAAATTTTAGCATTATTTTGCTATGGCAACAAATATTCATATTTTGTTTGAATACATTGTATTCTATTCAAGTATTATTTGTCAGTTTCATGTTAAATAATTTAATTTAAAATTTTATTTTTGGAATTTTTTGAAAGCTATTTATAAATTAAAAATCTATTATTTATTATAAAATGAGCATTACGTTGACAACATTTATTAATAATACTATTGAATTTCATCTTAATTTTATAACCGATCGTGCTTTAAAAAAATTATAAATTTGTTATATTATATTATTATATTCTTTATTACTGTATACTTAAAAATTTTTTTTGATGTTATTGCATCACTTTACGAAGTGCCTATATACTTAATTGCATCAGTTTTAGCACCTATTTAATTAATTTCAATCACGACAGCTAATGATATGGATGATTGTTTCTTTTAAACTATTTGATGAAAACATTACATAAAATTGGGGTCGCGTAATCATCCTAAATTATTTTTATATTTTTGACTGGAAATCACTGGATTTATACAATTTTAGTTTAATTAATGTCGTATAAAACTGACTATTCCTGCAAGTTTGCTTAAAACATGCGACTCAAAAGGCCCCAAAATGGCGGCTTAAGAAGTAGGTCACGCGTGTCCTGACCTTGATATATGAGATAGCCCGGGACGCCCCCTAGTGGGCGTTCTAGCAGCAGCGGTGTCATTCCGTGGTATAAATAATAAATTCCTATTACAAATAAAAATAATAATATATACAGTACTGTTATAAATAAATTATACTTGATGAATTTTCTAATGGAAGCTGTATTATGTGTTAAATAGGTAAATGTCTCTTCAATCCTATTAAATTATACTATTAATTTAAATAATAGCTAAAAATCATCGCCAGGGACACCCCCTAGTGCGCGTTCTAGGCATACCGTGACAGATATACAAACAGTGGCGTCAATGGCTTATATATATATAGATAACCAGAGCTCGAGGCATAGGAGTATTTGTTCGCCACTGGCATTAGCTTTGTTAACCCGGAGGCAAAAACTACAGCCGTACAAGTAAAAAAAAAACTAAAAATATATTGTAATAAACAAAATTTAAAAAAATTTTTAACATTATAGACTGCTTGGCAAGAGTAACGAACCTCTGGCATACGTACCCAAATGGTACGTAAGGAAAAATCATCTGGTACGTAACGTATCATACGATTTCGATTTATCATTTGTGTTTTTAGTTTCAATCATCCTTTCGGTGTATCATCCGATAATCCTTTTTTTTCAATAAGATTTTTTGCATTTATTGTAAGTAAAGTATATTCGTTTAAATGCTTTAAATGTCGTTATTCAAAGGCAAAAACTTTGGCACGCATAAACATCTTTAAAGTTACGTATACTTACTATGTGGCCCACGGGCTCAAAAAGGTTTGCCTTACCTTGCTACATGGTATTAAAGTGTACGTATATCATTATAAAAACATTACGTGTTTTTGAGATTGAATACTGTATTACAAAACAACAAATACATATGAATACTTTTTTACCCGAGCCAATCAGTAAATCCGGAATTTTACATGTAATTTCTAAGAATTATATGTATATATATTGTGTATTATTAACCATAATTTTCGTCGAAATTAGACCGAAAGATCTTTATATGTTGAAGAGATTGGTAAGGGTAATATTTTTAAAATAGTTAAATTCGACGGCCGGATGACCGAGCTTAGGGCTAAGGTGGCAATCTACTGCTCTGGGGGACCCGGGATCAGATCCGGACGGGTCGAAAATTCCCCAAAAAATTTTTCGGGGGTGGTCCGACCAGATATGTCGGCTCCCGTTCCTCACCACCCTGCGCCCCATTGTGGGCCTGGCCGAATCCTTAACGGGCTTGCTAAATGAGGCTCTCTTGGTGCACACGGGATGGAAGAGTAAAAATAATAAAAATAGTTAAATGACCCCGTTTTACGAATAATCTTTCGTATTAACAATTTACTATAAATCTGAAGACTTAAAGGTAATGGTAGCAATTATCGGAAATGAAAATAAAGAATGCCGAGAAAGTTCAGCAACGTTGCCAGAATTTTAAAGAAAATAAAATGCATTAATTTTAGTTTCTCCGGCTGTTATGTATACATAATTATGTATATTGGAATCGTGTCAAATTTGACCCTTCGAGTTTTTTGCAAATCTCCACGTTTTGAGACCTCCTGAACCGAAAAACGTCAGTGTGGATGTGTGTTTATCTATAACGTGATGTCTATTTCGTTTAATATATCAGAATGGGTCAAGGTTAAGAAACGAAATTTGGCACGACAGCATGTGTATAAGGGGAATTCATGCTATTAAATTTTGATAGTGAAAAGTCGAGGAGTGGGAGATAGAAAAAGAAATGTAAAAAGTTTTTTATAATAAAATCTCATAACAGATGGCGCCACATACAATTTTATTTATTTTGCTTAATAAAATAAAAACTCATAACAACCGGGAAAATCACCAAAGTCGTTGCTGGATTTTTTAAATATTTAATACGAAAGGATATATTATTTTATGGAAGAAAATGATGTCAACGTAAGGGCAGGATCAATTTTTTCATCCAACGTGCTGGATGTGTTCCAAAGACAATCTTCGCGATTACTCAATACGATACAAAATTTTAAAAAATGTTCCTAGTCGAATGTACAAAATTAATATGAAAAGTGGTTTATATAAAACGATAAGTACGACAAAATATATTAAATGCGATATACAATAAATACACGTTTACAAATTACGAATTAAAAGGAATTTCCATGCGGAAGAAAATGTGTCCTCATCTCTGGCATTTAAGCATTCTCCCATAATTTTTTTGGTTAAATTCTCGTTCGACATCGCGTGGACGCAAAGAGCCATCTTTATATCTTTAGCCCCATTACGTAAGATTTCGCCAATTGCCCATCAGCGACCGAGTGGAAAAAAACCACCGAACACTGGTAGTAGCGGAGTTTTTCGGGTTTTCTTCACGTTAGTAACACCTAAATAGGGGCCAGTTTGCCATGAAACACCTCCCAGGAGGCACCCCTTTCGGCAGATGATCTGCCGAAGGGAGTGCCTCCTGGGAGGTGTTTCATGGGAGGTGACAAGTAGGCGATCTGCGGCAGATCGCCTACTTGTCGCGTTGCCATATACGAATAAAATTAAATTTTCCCAACTTTTTGATAGACAAAGCCTGCCAAGGCCGTGTTGCTAAGTCTAATACGTAGGTTTGTGTATACGGTTTTTCAAATTAGTTTTGTACTTTGGACCCCGAAAATTTTTAAAAATTTGCTTGAAATCTTTTATTCTGAGAATTAAATAATCCCGAAGATGGCCTACGGAGCGACGCCCGTTGGATGCCCGTTAATGTCGGTTTTTCGGTTTTTTAAAACTCTTTCCGCCCTGTGGGCACAGAGAGTCTCTTTTTTGCCAGCCCATTATGGATGCCAGGCCCACAATGAGGCGGCCGGATGATGAGGGACGGGACCAGACATATCCAAACGGGCTAACCCCGAAAAATTCCTGGGGATTATTCGATCCCGGGTCCTCAAGAGCGGTAGGCTGCCACCTTGATCACCCGGCCATCCGGTTAATGTTGGATGCAAAATTAAGCTGTCTGAACTGGCATGATTTTTTTGTTTTCCATTACGATAGCGCAAACTCGTATATCGTTTCGTAAACTATCTCGCTACCTAGCTTAAAAGTTATAAACTTTTCAGCTTACTTCCGTTTAAATTTGTTTTTGCAGCCTAAAATTAATTCGAAATTATAGAGGTTATATATTATCTTCGGTATGTTACCAATTTATATTAGTGAAAATTTTCTCTATTCTAATGGAATATAATGTAGTCGCATAAGAACAATAACAAGTTTAAATATATTAATTGGAAAGTGTCTTTCGATTGGTGCGTTTTTGCACAGTGACCCAAAAGTGAGTTTTATGTTCCAGGTGTGAGGGCGGTGGAAAGGGTTGGTGGACATCAAGTCCGGGACCTCACGGCCTGGCTACGCTTTCTGTCGTAATTCCCTCGGTTTATCTCTTACCTCCCTTTCAGTGCGTGAAATTACACCGATCGATTTTCTAAGTCATTATTAAAGTTTAATTGTATAGATTCGGATCGAGCTTTGGGCTACAACTCTGGCTTCCCCACCCTGTAGTTGAGTCTGTACTTGTACTAAATCGTAAATTGAATTTGTTAAACCCGTTATAATTTTTTAACGCGAAGGGTGTTTGGAATAATTTCTATAAAGTCCATAAGTACTGTAATAAAGTATGCGTAAGGCGGCAAGTTAGCATTAGTCTTTATCATGGTTAACTGACTTTTAGGTCACCCTGTAGCCATAACGGATCAATATTTCCGAATTCAAATTTCGATATCCGTATACAGCCTAGTTTCATAATCTGATTCGAAAATCCGAGGTTCGTTTTGCTACGCAATACCTAAGAGAAGTGAAACGAGAACCGGAGCCCTCGCAAATGTCAGACCCCTTTCCGACAGGCAAAAAATATAAAAAATATGTACTGCTGACCAAGCAAAATGCAACACCTGCAATATCTAGAGTCCTAAATGGTGTTACGTTTTACTAGGCCAACAATGTACGAGTATAAACAACACCTAATCACTTTGCCATCGTACTATTTTCATATGTGACTAAATTTTGGGGCTCCTGTATGTTCGGAACTCAGTTCAAATAGCCTTCCTCTATCTACACCAGCTACAATATAAAATAAATGTAAAAATTTTTAAATAAAAACAAATCTTTACCCATCGCCATTGATATCCGCAGTTGCAACAGAGTAACCAAAATAAGAACCAATTTGTTCGCCGGTAATGTTTTGTAATATATACAAAGTCGAGTTGAACAACAAAACCTGTTAAATAAAAGTATTTAACGGTAAATTTTCAATGTAAAATACTGTTAGATATAAATATCAATTACTAAATTATTTACCTTTCCAGTTAAGTTGTTACCTCTTGGCATGCCTACTGCTACATCATAACCACTACCATTACTAAATTTTCCACTGCATATTGAATAACCTGGCAGGAAAATACATAATAATCATTAATAATTTGGTCGAAATATTAAAATATATTAGGAAAGTAATTATACCTAAATAACTATCGTCGTTATAATCTGGAGCTTCGTTGGTGCTGTATAATTGTTTATCGAGTACACTCTGCGAGAAAACTTGGCCTAAAATTAACAATATTAATTAACTAAGTTATATAAAATAAATTAATTAATTTAAATAATAATGTGTAAGGATTTGTAATAACTCCATTTCTTTAATAGGTATATGGAGTGAATATGTCCTGACTTTGAAAAGTGCATTTTATGTTACATTTAACCTTCTACGAGTTGAATATGACCATTAAAAAATATATATTTAAAGTTTACTATTTATTTACAGTATTCTTTTAAAGTTTAAAACTTTATAAGCGTTAAAAACTATATAAAACGTAATTTAAAAACAGTTTTTATTCAAAATAAAATGATATTAGAAACAGTATCATAAAATTATTATGACAGACATTTTGATCATAATGATATTACTGAAATTATTTTCCCCATAACATTAACAAAAATATTGCTGTCAAAGTATTCTTACGAAGATTGTATCCTCATATTAATACTAATATCCGTGATCTTTCCGAGAGTACAACAACCAAGTAGAGTCGACTGCGGTGTATGTGGAATAGCCATCGCTGTCTCCTCAGCATTTGGAGTGAAACCCGATACAATTCGATATGATCGTAGATAAATGAGTTGTAATTTCTTGAAAACATTTAATTTCTCTAAATTACAGTATTTTCCACAGATACTATTTAAATGTGTTGGTAGAAAAAAATAAATCCTTAGCACTTGCTCCGAATAATAATTTGAAAAATATTTAAAGAATTATTTTCAAATTTATCTTTCCACTTATATTCTCACTATGCACTTGGCGGTGCGTTCGTTACACGTCACAATTCCTTTTACTGTTGTTTAAAAGTGAATAAGTTTAATGTGATAATAATTCCTTAAAACTGTTTATAATAAAATAAACTTTGGAATAATTAGTAATGAAATAAATCCGTAATGCACCGCCAAGCGTGCGTTTGAAAACCGAAATACTGCTTTATTAAAAACGACATTGGCACTGATACTAAAACTGCATATAATGAAATATCTTGATACCACTATTACGGCTTTTGACGTCAGAACGATTACTTGAGTCCCCAATATCACGAATTCCCATAGCGAAATAATTACGAATGTATAACGTAGTCATTGAATGAAGGATTCATACTTTGTTGTGTATCGTGTACATCTGAGATAGAACAGTAATATTTTGCAAACGATTAATCTATGCATGCTTGATGGCAGTTTCGTACCTGTAATGTCTACGGGTATGTTTTCGTGTATGTCCTTTGTAGACAATTCCAATAAGAATTGCTTATTATCATTGTGGTAACTACGGTACCTTTAGAGTCTACTCTAAATATTTGTCCTGGAAATTCTGATTTCTATTAAATCATCCATATTAATTATGCAATCTGGTTCAATGCCATCCGATGTATGTACCAATTTCTTGTAAAACTCTTCTGTATTTTCAATAGAAATTGTACCTCTTCTTGCTGTGATATTAGCGGATGTTCGTATAGCTAAATTTTTATTGCATTGTAAAAATTCTTTTATAAAATCATATCCAGGTAAATTATCACTAAAACGACGAATCTTTTCTCCTTTATGGTCCAAATAATCCTTTATGACATGTCGTAATTCAGTTGTTGTAATTGGAAATCAATTTCTGATGCCATAATAAAATGGTAACTAATGATTGTCTTCTCTTCTGTGGTCAAAACTGCCTGACCTCCTTTCAAAAAATGGTTTCCATTAATTTCATTTTGTAAAGTTGTTCGTGCAATGTTGAAGCAAGAACTAGCTGCGTGTTGTGACATTCTACCAGATTTGACAGCTTTAACTGAAGCTTGCTTGTTTACTTTGAACAACATATCGTCTTGTCCCACTTTTAGGCATGCAACGCCTTGGCATTATTTCTAAAAATATGACAACATTGTTTTAACATAATGAATATAATAATTCATTCATATAATGCTCAAAACAATCAAAAACTAACCTTTTCTGTGATCTGTTGATTACTTCTTACTGCAGGATGCTAAATGGTAAACAGCGCTGTCTACACTGTAAGGTGAATGTGGCCAACAATGACCACATTCACCTTACAGTGTAGCTTTCGTAATACAATAGCAATTAATGAAAAACTAATTATGTTTCATCTTTTTAAATTTTTTCAATTGAAACTAGAGGCATTAATAATTGTTTTTGTAAAACATAGACTCAAATGCATTCACCATTTTTTTCTAGATCAACTTCTCAGAAATTAATTTTTATCATCATCATGATTAAATATAAAAACTACTGTATAAAAATAAATGTATTCAAAAATATTTTAATGTATTTTTTTTTCTATAAACCAAATTGACATCCAGTTCAAAAAATTCAATTACATCACAATTTTTTTTTATATTCCGGAAATTGTAATAATTTGTTATTGTTGTTTAATATTTTGGCTACAATCACCTACATGGGCCGAAATCACTTTTTTTTTACAATATACTTTCTATTTACATTAGTTAACATCAGATGGCACCACGAAACGATTCACTTTCGCCATTTTTTTTTCTTGTTTTTTAACCATATGTCGGTTTAGATTTCATTATAACTTCAATTATTTTAAAATTTCAAATTATACGAACTTTTTAAATAATTTATTCAATACGTTAGGATTTTTATCAGATAAATACGCACAAAAGAACGTATATTTTTCTGTCTACATATATGTTATTATATATGCATTTTTTTTATTTCCTTATATATGATATCTGCCAGTTTTCTAAATGAAATACTTAAAAATATATGGAGAAATTATAAAAAGAATTTTAAAAGATTATATAAATTCTATGGGGTGCATGAACTTGTATGTGTATATACTGTAATTTATGATAGGCGTTTATAAATAACAATCAGAACTTTCACTGCTATTAAAGTAATGCGAAATTTGATACTGATAATTAGAAACCTGGTATAATATATGTTTACTTGTTAATGTTGTATTAAAACATCTTAAGTGCTGCGTAACAAAAAATAAAAATAGAAAAGACGTTACATTTAATTAATAATATATGTAATTTTTAAACTAACCTTGCCAATACCAGCTGCCGACTGCCCCGATAAATAAGTTTTTACCATCCTAAAATGGTATTAAAATATATTTTTTTAAATATGTAAATTTATTTTTAATACAGAATTTAATTATGTATTGATACCTTAGATACAACAGCAGAAAATCCTGCTTGACAGGAACCTTGACGATGATAACCCCATGCAGCTAATTATATTAAAAATGATTAAATAAATAAATAAATAATAAATTAATAATAGTTAAAACATAAATATTAAGCATGCTATTTTAAAATTTGTTATGTATATATTTAAATTTGTATTTGGATGTTACGTAATACATACGTCACATTCAACGAATTTGAAGTTATGCTTGACGCTTATTGGTCCAGATTTGTTACGTCAATAGATTTCGTCCACGTGATTGGACAATTCAAATTTAATTTTAACGTTATTTTTTAAAGTATAATTTATTTATAAAGTTAGATTTAGTTATTTTATTTAAATAAAATTAATTAAAACATTAGAGTTGAATCGAAAATTAAAGATTAAAGACAAATTATTCTTAAAATATTTTAATTTTATATATATTATTTATCGAGTAATTAGTCATTGTAACAAATTTATTTGAATTTTAAAATCGTCTCGAACATATAAGTATGCTTTTAAACTTTATTAACAAAAGAAGAAAAGTAATTTAATATTAAATGTTTAAAAAACTTATTTCCAGTTTAAAAGGATTAAAAAACTTATGGAAGAGAGCGGAACTTTAATACTTCCTCATTTAAAAACAAAAGAATAAGTAAAAAGCAATTGACACCGAAATTAATGTCAATAATCGCAATCATCGCTCGATTCGGCATAAAGAAATTCCTATGACGTGGCATCACGTGGTAAAATCGCAGCCACTTTGTCTCATAAAGCGAATTGTTGCGAAGTGGCAGCTGTTGGAGTCAGCTGTCACTCTACTGTATAAAGATGATATTAATATTAGGAAAAGAAAGAAATTTCTATTCTAAAATGGAAAAATGACAATAGAACCGATCATTTTTATATCGTCGAATGCTATTTTTTCTATACACACGATGTCTTTAATAAAAACCGCGCTAGGATTCGGGGGGGATGTTTTTCAAAAAAATGGTAGTCGTGTGTAGGGTTGTAAGAGAATAATAATTCTATTACCACCACTATTAATACACCAACATACCGTTTCTTCACCATTAACAGCGCCACAACTACGAAGCAACCAGCGGTGACAACTCTTGTAACCGGACACCGCTTTGACACTGGTGACCCTCCAGAATACCATTTCCAGGAACACTAACTTCATTCATTTGGATTTTTAAACTGGAGATGTTACAAATGTACGACTAGACCAAAGTAGATAACGCTTAAAGTGGTTACAGATTTCCGAATAATTTTAAAATTCTGCGTAAGTAAGACAGGGAGGTCGTACGTAATTTGACTTAAGGCAAGCGTCGATAGAGATGTTCCAGACTGTGCATCATACAAAGGGAGTCTGGATAGTTTTGGGGTGTAGAAGATTGTTTGTTTAGCAAAGATGCGAAACAGGCAGCAAGAGGCACCACTCTCGTTTACCCAATTATAAAAATTTTATATAAATAAATTCACTGCTTTCTTTTTTTACTTCCTTAATAAGCTACAGGTGCAGTAGAGATTAATAAGATTATTAATTTTAAGTATCGGTAGCATAATCGGCTTGTCGTGTGTTAAGTGTTCTGCTCCCCGAAACATCCTGCTATTAACCTCTAAGGTCAATCGATCCCCAAAATGTAAGGGGGCCTCAGGAAGAAGTTTGTCTGTCGACAGCTCGCTTTGCAGGACATCACTAAGACAAACACGACCCTTGCCTTGTTTAATTATTTTGGAAGTTTTAATGATGCTGCTTTCTATCCATTAAAATTGTTTATTCTCCAACCATTGGAAAATCTTGGAGCAATCGAGTTGCAACTCCTCCCCTTTCCAATCTAACCCGTCAATACGATACCCTTTACTATTATGCAATTATATTTTTAGAACGATTAAAAAAACAAAATGAAATATCTTTCGTCAGCTGAAGATAAGCTCAGAGAAAGTCATGTTACTTTATTGTTATCTCTAAGGCTACTTAGATGTTAAGGAAAAAACCCGTATCTTAATTTTTTGTGGTGTATGCGTTACATATCTTTTGTCGCTCTTTTTTAGGAAATGTGAAATATTAACTGCAGCATTTTCCTGGAAGGAATTATAGAAGACGCATTAAAGACTAATTTAAACTGAACGAAATACGAAGTTGATCCTCGCCTGCTTATGTTCCATTAGTAGCTGTACAAGATGACCTGTAGCGATAGAAGTGACTCTTTTATCTAATCAAAGTTTATTATAATGCCTAGAATTTGCTAATGTAACACGGTTTGAGTAAACTTTATAAACTTTTCCGGACGAATTTTGCAATAAAAACTTCCTCCATCCCTATCTCTTAGTTTTTAAACCGTCTCCGCTAAAAAATACACCCCTCACACCGATCGATTACATGTCTTAACTGGAGTCTATTTAATAAACCAATAAGAGTTGACATCTCAGAACCTTTTATAGACAAAAAAATTTTAACATTAAAAACATTAAAAAAGGACCACTAAATTAACATTTCCTTAAAAAAACAAGCTTCTTGCATTATAAAAAACACGACGAAATCGATTATTGGTTAATATTTAAATATATTTAAATGTTTAGCCAATAAGAAGTGCCTTTTGCGAAAATACTAATTTATACCCTAGTGACAATCTGTTGTTTTAAACTATCAAATTACAGCATAAACTCGTTCAATGTATTAATATTTATTTATCAAAAAAAGTAACCTTTACTCAAAGTAAAACAAATGCTGAAGATAGTGTTAGTTTACCAGTAAACAACTTCCTTCCAACAGGATTTTTTTTTTTTTTTAATTGTACAAATTACATTTAAAATTATTATTATTATTATTTATTGATAACTTGTTATAACTCTGAATAAAATAAATACATTTTTTTAAAAGTTTGTTTAACTTGTTGCGATTGGATTTAATATTATAGAATCAAATGCATTAACTAATAAAATGATTCGTTACAAATTTCGTAGGTAGTTTAATATGTGTCATTGAAATCTTTACTAAATTAGTCAGATATAAAGAAAACATTGTTTCATTTGTTTAGGCGATAACGTAGATAAGGTTTACTAAGAATATTGAATATATACGAAATAGTTTACATGAGTAATCATGGTAATAGAATCCCATAGGATATTGGGTGTGTTAAATACTGTAGTTTAATTAAATAAGCAATTACAATAACGTAGGTTCAATGCAATACAGAACATTCCTTCAAACCCTTTTCGTAAAGTGAAAGGAAAGGATTTTTAACATAAAAAGTATAAAATAATTTAATAAACTTACACGTTCTGCAAGGGGAATATTCTTTAAAATCAGAAAAATCCGATTTTGCTACCCAACAGGTACCGATTGGTTCTCTTCTCTTTAAATTTGACGAGAAGTAGATGTAACGAGGTGCACACGCCTGTAATTATTTAAAGTTAGAATGTATTACAATGTTTGGCTAGTACTAAACTAAGTTATTTTCCTTTACTTTTTATTTTTCTATTTTTTCACACTTACCACAATAACTCCGTTTTCCCCCGAGCTATGGATAGTCGCACCGAACCATTGGTTAGATTTATCATCTGTTTGTTTAGGTTGACTGAGATAAAATATTTTACCGTGACCTGTAAAGAAGTTAAAACAAAAATTTATGTGATTCTTTATCAAAATAATTATTTTCATAATCTCTACTATATATTCTCTCTTGCTCTTTCCTAACGGTCCTTTGGGAGGTAGCGTGCTGGGTTTTGGTAAGGGTCAAAGCTATAAAGGTCACCGTGCCCACTCGAGGTCATTTTAAAGTAGAAGTTTTGTAACCTCGTAGATTTTTATGAATGGAAAAGATAGATTTTAACTCGTTTTTATCACAATAAGTACTGATTTTGTTGTTTTTTTTTAAGCCGAAAAATTATCGACAAAAATTATCTTTGTGACGTTTAACGTCTTCTTAAAAATCACTAATATTAGTTTATAAATAATTTGAAAATTCGTATTAAAAGTCTAATAAAATAATGAATTTTATCTACATTGACCAATGAATTGCTCGAAATTTTAAAAATAAAAAAACGTATTTTCAAATAAGTGTCGTAGTAAAATATTAATCCATAGAAAAAAATGGATAATTTTGAATCTTAATAAAATTGATAACATTCTATGTAGCAAAGAAACAAGTTTTAAAATAAAGCTAAATCTTAATTACAATTTTGATCATTTGAAAATAAATCATTTAAAACTTTGCATCGTTTAGAATTTTATTGAGTTTTTAAAGATTAAATCCAAATAAGAATAATATAACACGATGCAGTTACATTGAACTAACATTAAATATTAAATTAATACAGCGAAACCTGTTTAAAACGGTACCGGCCAAAACTATCCGTTTTCTAAAGGGTCCATTTTAAACAGGTTTTTTTTTAAAACAACCTACATTAACGAAATTTTCACCTGGAATTTGCTTTAAAACTTTTAAAATAATGTAAAATAGCGATAACATAAATATTAATTTAAAAAAAAAGTATTAATATTTGACTCACCAGCGGTATCGAAGTGAATATGTTCACAGGAATCTGAGTATATTGTGCTGCATCGATATACTGAACCACCCCTCACTACACCCGGTTGATCGGTTTGATCCTGAGGCGCACCAACTAGTAACCTGTTAAAATTTAATTTATTCCAATGGAATTTTTTTCTAAAAGGTTAAAGATTACAGAATTAAACTCTAACGTAGACAGAGTTTGATTTTATGGCATTTGAATAGGATAAATATTACTTTGTTATGAATACTGTCGTAACTTGGTCTTGTTTTGTATGTTGGATCTTCCTGTTGTATATTTCTGTTTTTTATTTTATCATTTTTGGATCGTCCCGTAATCAAAGGAATCGAACAAACGCATTAATACATTAACAAAGTGGATAACATTGAAACGAGATGAGAAATCATGGAACGTTTCTACGAAAACGTTCTCAATTCGACGTTTGTGTAAATAAATGCGCTCCTTTAAAATATGAAGGAGAGGGGAACAAGCAACTTGCCCGTTGATTTAAAAAGACAATTTTCTTCCCTTTGTAAACGCCACTAATTTGTATAAACGCGTCCCTTTAAAATAAAGGAAGGAGAAGCCCGATCCTTTATTTTAAAGAAGCAAGTTTCTTAACCGAGTTATAAACCCATTAACGATAATATTAGGAAAACAAGTGTTTGTTTCTATGTATATATAGTGAACTGTTCATTGAATAACTTCAACGGGGTCCATTGATAAATTTTCGAATAAACAAACAGTAGAAGGGATCAAGAAACTTTTTTGCTCTATAAAGTCTGATAGAAAAGATGAATGTAACCTTTGTATCCCGAGTGACTAACTAGGAAATTTACAGAATAAAATCGATTTGGCGGTGCGTCAACCTGTTAATACGTCGACATTTTTGAATTTTCTGGCGAGAAGGTATATATAAAATATTTTGAAAAACTTACCAACTATAACCTCTGTTTCTGTGTAACGCAACCGAAAAACCGAACATGGTACCGGGATGACTTCGATGAATAACTGGCGAATGCAAGTCCAAATTGAAGCCATCGCAACGATAAAATATAAACAGAATTAATAAAACTCGTTGCGATATATCCGTGTCCGTTAACATCACTCGGAAATTCGGTCTAATACATGAAAATTTCAACTTTTATAACTCGAAAAACGTTGACTTTCGCAATCACATGGCTAAGGGTTACACCTAACTGTTTTCTCCAACATTTCCAACTAGACACAGGCATACAGTTACAAAACATAACTTTTTTCCTACCAACTATCAATCGGAAGAGCGCCATCTGTCAACTACTATGTTAAAGAAATCTTCCAAAAATTCATAAATCATTTTAAAAATATACAGTATTCAGCTAATAAAAAAAATCAAGAAAATACACCGTATTTTTGTATAAAATGAGCGCGTGTTCCTGGTGAATTTTTTTTTTTAAAAATCGAATAAATTTTATAGTAAATTTAATAAATTTCCAGAGTAAAATTAGCGTATTAAATTTAAATGAAACTAAATTTTTTAATAAGAAATATATACATATTTGAATGAGTAATACGTATTGCGTAGTTTCTATAAAAGATAAACAAAGAGAACTTTTGAGTAAAGAGGGAATTTTTTTTTTATTTTTCAGTTGTCCATATGTGCACAAAAGAAGCGATTACACTGCCCTTGGCGACGAGTTCCGTAAATAGCCGACAGCTTCAAACGTTTTTTGAAAGTTTGGGGAATGAAAGGATTTTTCAAGATGTGTCCCAGCAATCTGCAAATATTGAAAAATACATTAACATTTATAAAAAGAAAATTTTTTAACAGGTGCAAAATATATAAACTATACAATATAAAAATAATAATAATAATATTTATTACTATATTGAATAAGGATATTTAAAAAAATATTTTAATTATTAAATTGCGGGTAGACAGGGACTAACGAACTATTAGAAGGGACGTAAAGGGGCCCAAAATTTAGTCAATATAATTTTTAAAAAATTATAGGAATGACGAAATCGTTTATTTACATCGGGCTTCTATCAAATATTTATTAGTAATCGAACTAGGGAATTTTTAAAGTGTTTTTTATAGCGCCAATATTGTCCGGTCCAGATTGAAGGAGCTAGCGGAGTCATTTGGCTCGAGCCTAGTATACTACAGGAACCTAAAATGTAATAAGACATACGAGGCGAAAACTATTTTAAAAAGTTCATTATGGGTCCGATCTTCGTCTCACCTCTATTGGATTTTCAGACGATAGAGAGCCCAAAAGGGAATACCAGCGCTTTCTTTCGAATAATACTTTGAGCGTTATACGAAGTTACTGTATTTTGTTACAAATGTTATTTTCTATTATACGTTATATTCATTAAATCCATAATTTATTGTGCTCGTAATAATAGACTATCGTATCCTAAATTCTTTACTCCAATGTGACACAAATCGGTCATAACGTTACATCTGTGTCTGCATTTACGTAATAGAAACTCACTACGATGCTGTTGATGTATGCACTAAAGATAATGTTATATTTAAGCCGATGCCAAACTTCCGTTTATTTATTATACAACTAATTGGTATAAACAGATATCACTAAACTGGGTAATTCTTGTTGTAGGTCTAAATGTTCCAATTGTAAAATTTAAATTATAACGTCATCAATATGGATATATCGAGCGCTTATACAATGCACTCGATACAGGATATGGCTATCGATATTAAGCGATATAACGCGCACCATTAAATAATTTTACCAGTTAAATCTAAATATAATAAGTATTTATTATATTTAATTAATTCGTTTAAACCAACGGCTTGCGACAGAGCGAAAATATTCAAAATAATAAAAAATATTAAGCTGTTATTAAAAATAATTTAAAGAAATTTATATAAAAATAATTAAACATAATAAATTTACGGAATAAATGGTATTAAAATATTTTAAAAGATTATAATTTTTTTAAAGTTTTCTTTGATCTAGGCCGTGAGAATTAACAGCTTGAATTTTTATTATACTTTATTCCCTGCTTCTTTTTTTTACGTAGTCGATACAAAATTCTTCGCTATCCTAAACTTCTTTTTATAAATTTAAAAAGAGCCTAATTTTTAATCACGGGACAAATTCTATTCTGTTTTATTCGTTTACTTTTTATATTTTTCAAAGCAGCGAAAGAAGAAAAAGCTGTTTTCTTATACAAGAAAAATGGTATTTTTCTTGTATAAGAAAAATACCATTTTTCTTATACAAATTTTTCTTATACAAATAAGGAACAAATTTATGGATTTTGAAGAAAATGCAAACACTAATTTTACATATTATATTTAGGAAATTTCCTCAGAAATTTTGCAAAATTTCTAGATACAAAGAATTCATTCAGTTATAATTTCCCCCATATAAATAATTTAATCACCATCACTCTAATCATAAATACTGTAAACAGTGATAATAAGTCAGATTTAATTTAAAAATCTAAACACTTAGAATCTTATCTCGATTGTTTAATTAAAAAATAACTAGACCAGTAATTCTACGTATAAATTGTAGACCTAATACAATTCTATCAATTTTCTTCGTACCTCTTCCTGATCATTGATCGGATCCGCAATGGATGCCGAGGAGGAGGCTTAACATTTCTAAATACGCATAAAACCCGCGGATATTTGGCTGACTTGGTTATTTCGAGCTACCTCCTTTATTATCGTGAGTGGTTCGGCCACGGATTTATTCAGATTCCCAAGAAATCCACTCGCGAAGATCGGACCCGGATACGAACTTCGCGGTCAACTTCTCTAAATTTGTACGACTGACCACGTATAGAAATCGAATATTCGTTACACCTCGATATAGCGCTAAGTTGTTAGTTAGTAAATATGTAACATTTCTCCGTCAAGTTCGACGTCCTTATTTAGGTTTTAACAAAGACAAATGACATCGATTTAACGTAAATGTGCACGATAATCCCATCACGTTAACGGCAGGGAAAATACAATAGATGTCGATTTAATAAATGCCTGTATATTACGATTGCTTACTGATAAAAAGGAATTAGTGGTTACTAACATGGAGGTGACCGTCTTTTCTAGTTCGGGAGCGTGGGCATTTTTCGGATCGGCAAATTCGCAGGACAGTCGCTCCATGCAGTGATCCTCGGGGTCGAGTAAGCCGTTACACTGCAGATAATTGGCGACCAGACGGCCCTGCTGATTCTCGTCGTATCTAACTTTATGCAGATAATGGGCTACGGATTTAATTTCTTCTTCCCTATTACCGATCGGTGGTTGGGTTGCTCTTTTCTTCCTCCCCGAATTAACGGATGGTAACAGAGGTTGCACGGCCATTGGTAAAATAACGGGTAGAGTAAAGATTAAACTTAAAAGCGGTGCCAATAATATAGGTAGAGTAGCGACCAACAAACGAGTCCTTCTCTCTCTCTGATTACGTCGAAAACCGTAAAAGTATTGACCTCTGTACTCCCACACTTCCGGACGTTTTCTTCTAGACGACAATCGATTACCTAAAAAAGGAAACGATCGATCGGATTAAAAAACGACGCTATTATCTAACTTGACTATACCGAAACTCGACAGATGGCGACACTATAAAATAATTTTTTTTTTTTTTTTTTACAATTTTAAAGCAGACCAGGATGTAAAACCCTCAAAAATATAACAACAAAGGATTACATTTTGATATATTGAATTTTAATAAAATATTTACAAGTGTTATAAATGTAATATTTTAAAATAGTGCCATCTGTTGAGCGAAATTATGACTAACATGTAATATAATATATATATATAGCCTCACCCGGTCTTCGATGCGTCACGGAATACAAAGCAATAGGGAAGTATCGACCCGCTGGCCTTTCTCTCGTATTTAAGGCTTCTAATCCCAGAGAACGTTTGCTTCTTAAAATTTTTGTCGAGTTATCGGAAAATTTGGTCACTACGGTTACTTGTGACATCACCATCGTGATGAATAAGCAAAAGAATGCCAGCCAATAACAGTTCGACATTATTAATCTGTAACGATTTTCAAAAATTTAAATATGTTTCTTTAAAAATTTCCCTCACGTTTCATGTAATAAAAGACAAAAACCTCATCAAAATTTACTATAATATTTACTAATTTTTTATTAAGATTTTCAGAAAATTTCGTGTCATTTTGTACGGTCGCAGGCTTATTTATTCTAAACAACGCGCTGCCACAATATAAGTGCGTTTGACAATAATTGTAGTAGAAAGAAGCATTAATTGATGCTACTTTTACCAACGTAACCTACGGTGTGACCCCCCCCCAGTTACCTAACACTTGAAAAACGAAATTGCCGCCTTATTCAAATATTTTATTGCTTAAAAACCTAATAGAAATAGCTAGAAATACGATCCTCCGTGTTAAATACACAACTAACAATGCTTTAATGAATGAAATTATAAATTTTAAAAATCCTCTGACTTTCGACTGACCCGTATTTGTGATTAAATAGTATATTCTATTTAAAATTGGAAGACGACAGACGTCCTTTCTAATTCAACTTTCAAGCCTTCACTTCACCTTTTAAGTCTTTTTTTTTTTTTTAATACCTTAGCGAATTTAATTAGCCTATATATAAGAAACAAAGATTTTACATCGTTTATTATGCACTTAACTCGTACGTACCGCACGATAGTTTTAAGAATAATTATTGCAGTTATATTTTAATATTAATTAATACGAACGATTTGTTGAACTTCGATGATAAAAGGCGACGTGCTATCGTTTTAAACACTCTTTTATGAATTACAATAGAAGAAAAGTAAGCTAGTTAGTGTTCACTTTCGGGATCTCCTCGTTTAATCGGATCTCCGATAACTGGGATTCTACCGTATTTATTGAATACGACTTTCCATTGATGATAATTATAAAATGTTTTATTTACAGAAATCATAAATATTCACTCGATTTTTATTTGTTCCTTTCTACGGCGCTTGTCAGAAAGTGACAAGTGTTGTGGAATGGAGCGTTAGTGCGTAATAAATGGATGTCTCCATTGACGTAATTGTCACAAATACATTTAGAATGTTCTGTTTATCTATTTATTTATTTACGTGCGGTAGTTGATACGAAGTGGATTTTCCTTCATATAAGATACAGATTTACATTGCGAATATAACATTGGCTTGTATACGCGAAGAGTGTTAAAGAATTGAAAGCAGACCGTATAAACGTAGTCTACTGTTGATGAATGAATCTCAAGCACTGTGTAGTAGAGATAACAGAGACTTATCACACTGCAACTGAGGACATCAAAATGACACTTCTATCGACGGAATTCAACTTAATTACTGATATGCACTTCGGTCCAAAAGACTCTCATCAGCCATACGCGAATACATAAAAATTCTTATATACAGATAAAAATTCCTTTTCAAATTTTTGAAACTGACCTGTTATAGATCCATACCAAAGGTCAATCAATGTTTATCAATTAGAATGTTTATTATAAACAGAATCTACACAGTGTTTGAGAATCGTTCATCAACACTCATTGAGACAAGAAGTTTTTATACACAACATAGTTTACTTTCAACAGTATATTATAGTTTTATGATGTTTATTGGGCTGCAATTTGAAAAAAACTGTAGACCTACAAATTCCAAATGTTGTCCGTCTGTTCGCCTGTCTTTCCTTAATCTTGAGAATGGAGTCAGACAGATAAAAGCTGAGACCAGATATGGAAACCTTAGGAACAGGAAGGCCCGATTAACTATATAAGAAGTTCCGTTATTTCAATTCAAGACTTTTCCCCTGAAAGCAGTTAATAGATGAATAGATGAACGACACGACTCTATTGTTATAGGAAAAGTATGATACACCGGGCCAAGAGAGAACAGTATTAATTTGAAGCAGCGAGCATATATTTTACATTAAATAAATAAAATATATGATTAAAAACTGCAGCCAGGTATTGCAATCAGGTCACAATAAATAATTGCTTGTTTGTGTTTAAAATGTTTTGATAAAATGTTTTAAAACTTCTATATTTTCGGTCACAAAATAAACCAGTTTTCTAATTAGAAGAATGCATTTAATTACTTTGTCATTTATGACTTTTATTGATTTATATATTTTTAATCGGTAAATCAATGCAAATTTTCAACGATATTTAGTTTATTAAGTTATTTTATTTATCTAGAAATTACATTATATTATAGAATGAAGAGACATCAGTCTGTAACGTGCCTTACTATACGCCATCATTTATTTTTGACTTTTTAAACGAATCGTATTTAATTACAACAGAATTAAAAGGATTTTAATTGAGAATCCGTTAGGCAAATTGTCAATCTATTCAGTTAGACTACTAAATTAGGTATTCGTGTTTTAATAGGAACTGAAAGAAGCGAGACGGAGCCCAAAGTTTCACCCCATTTCGCCTCTCATTCGTATCTTTATGTTTTTCGAGAAAGGGGATAAAGTCCCCCTATTTGTTGATCCCACCCGCTTCACATCATGTTTTTACATTTAAAAAATAATAAGTAAAAACTAAATTTAAAGAGATTCATTTTCAAAATACTTACGTTGTGAGAACTCGATGTTTCTGAAAAAATAATCGATACAGTACACAGAATGTTATTATTAAAGTATTTATTGCTAGATTATAATAAAGTATGATAAGCTGTTTTAAAGAAGATAGTTACTTCGTGATACGATTTGTATTGTGAAAGTTAACTAAACTGCTATACATTTTTTTTTTAGTTTTTAAGGAATTTTGTGGTTAGTTTTCTCCAGAAGTGCTGTGTTTTACAGAATTTTTTTCATTTCTATTATTTTAGTACTGTTCAATTTTGAAAAATTGGTATATTTTATTAATACGATGAAGGACTTTTTACAGGCCTACATTCGTTCGATAAATAAATAAATAAATATATTGTTTATGTCATGGCTCAAAACAATGCTTAACTATCTTGGAACTATGTCAAGAATTGGACTCTAGAAAAAAAACAGTGAATTACATTTGAAAATCACTAACGTAAACATAATTACAAGATAAAAATAGCTCTGTTCAAGTAAATGTTCAAGAATAATTAAACGATTATACAATTATTAGTCCATTAGTGTAATGTGCTTTCATCAAAATTGTGCACCAAACACACTTTTATCTGTTTTTCTTCACCACTCCAAAAGACATGGAAAGTGTCTTTTTCATCGGGAACCGATCTTTACTCGATGGAAATTATTTATTTTCAAATAAATCAAAGTTTCTTTTCCCACTTTGATGACCCCGAACTTCAGAAAACGATTAACACCTGCCAGCAATAATTCTTCCCGATAGCTCTGAAAAGCCGAAATATAAGTTACGGCAATGTGAAATGTTCTTGTTGCAATATTATTCGTATCTGTTGTAATATATTAGAGCTAAGCTTTTCTCAAAACAATGTTATCGGCCAGATTAATGCAGTGTTTTCCACTATCTATTCTTCAAATTGGAAATCTTCATTCGTGCACTGTTAGCCTTAGTTAACATCTTCACCAATAAGTTTTACAAGAAAACTACCCCACAATAGGCTTCTTCAACGATTTAGACACGTTTATATTTTCGTAAATAGGCAGAATTTACAGCATTTAGACTAATGCATTTAACTGCGAATAATTTGAGAAAATTCACTGTTAACTTCTCAAAACAGTGTGTTTATATCCTGTTAATTACGACGTCCGATGGCTAATTAATTGGCTATTTATAAAATTAATTACGTTCTTTGTACAGGCTACGTATGTACTGTACCTACAACTTTCGTGTATACTTTTGACTTTACCAAGTTAGTTTGTGCATTTACTTTATTTCTCGACACTTTAACGCAATTAAAAAATTGCAATGTTACTATTTAAAAAATTCGAATGATGAATCTGCTCATTTAGATGAAACTTAAGTCTAGCACATTTAAGTTTATACAACATTATAAAATTAAATTTACACTCAATGAAGTATCGCGAAAACTTAAATTAAGCGTTAAATTTAAACACTGTAAAAACAATATTAATTAAACATAATTAATACAAACCTTCTTTCCATGCTGACATGACAATCCGGATAATTCCTGTTGGGATCCTGTTTTTTTTTTAGCTGTGTTAATGCAGACTTTGAGTGCTAATGACTTCTACTGTAACAAGCTTCTTCTCATCTTCATAAAACATCGAAGGAAAAGAAAAACTACCATCAAGAACCCTTTAACTCATGCGTAACGCACTGTTATAATGAAATTGTCACGCTTAAACGATATATCTGGTCAAATAAAGGACGTGGACTCGTCGCATACGAAAGCGTGACTATAAATAAATGGTCCACTTAGTTTAGAGAATATAAGTCCAAAATTGTCTTCTATACGAAATACTAACATTAGTAACGGTCGACGGATACGAAAGAGTATTTTAAGGTTACAAATCTTAAAATACTCTTTTACATCGTTTTTATCCTATTTTAGAGGGTGGAGATGATAAATGATAAATATCTTCGCCCGCTTTAAATTCGTTTCTGTAACAAATTCCCTCCGTATTTTATGTAGATGTTCTTACTAGTTTGTAAGGGCACAACGGCATAAAATCCATAAAAAGTATAGTTTCAGGCGCTATGTATTTATAATATACAAACTACGACTTACAAATTACGGATTAAATAAATGCACGTTTGACCGAAGCTATCATTTCTTGAAGCTTACAACCAAATACACCAATCAAAACCTTGAAAATCCCAGTAAATAATTTCATGTAAATATGAAAAACGTTTTCGATCTTACACAAGATTTTGAAATCAGCTTCTATGTATTGCAATTTAGAATGTTATTGACCCGAAACAGATCTTCCGTAAGATCGAAAACGTTTGTCGAATTTACATAAAATTATTTACCGGGATTTTTATCGGTGTGTTTAATATAGTTTTCGATCCAATTAATCTGAAGAAGTTAAGCTTATGTTAAGCGCTGTGAAAATTATAAGCGTATGCGTGACGTCTGTCCATAAATACGGTACGTGGAAGCAGTAAGTACTTACTTATCAAAGTTATGTACTGTACTACGTATCGATTTTATTTATAACTTAACTTACGTACTCGAGTATCATTCATCTCTATAGGTACTGCACGTACAGCAAAACTTAATAAAAAATAAAATATTTACATATTACTGTTTATTAAATTACTACACTTCCCAATTGTTAAGTTTTATCAAAGCTATTGTTTCTACTAAACTTAGTAACAATTACTACAAAAAAAAAAAAAAAACAGCTGGCAACGGCGTTGCTGGACTTTCACGACATTCTTTGTTTTCATCCCTAATAATTGCTACCAATACCTTTAAATCTTCAGATTGTATCGGGATAACTTATATTAAGTGGTGAGTGTCATATCTCCCGTAGCATTGGTCCGATTTTTCCGAAAGTTTCTACAAACGTTTCCCCTTAACATACGAACTTCCTCGCAAGATTTTACATATTTTCGACAAAAGGTACAGGATCTATTAAGCTTCAAACTGGGTAAAAACTCCTGCCCTACGACTCTATACACACAGAAAAAAAAAAAACCCTCAACTTTTTGCTTTTCTCGACGTTCCCCGAGTCCAAAAAATGTAAAAATCTTGAGAGGTCAGTTTTTTGATCGATCTGTACTTTAATTTTTAAAAAAGATAAAAAAGTTTTAAGCTCAAACAAAGCAATTTTTATTTATTCAATGCCCATGACTTAGACGTATTGTTTTAATGCATTGCATAAATTATACACTTAATATTAATTAAAATAAACTCATTATCGTACACATTATCGTATACAAAAATGTATTTTTAAAAATATAATAAATATAACGGGTCATTTATTAAAATGTTGACCTTCGTGAAAAATTTCGGATGATATATTTATCGATCTATAATTAAGACATTAAAGAAAGATAAAATAAATAGCAAAGTTACGCGGCGGAACATTTTTCCTAATTTCTAAAATTAAACTCGGGATCCAGGAAGAATTTATTATTAACAAGTGTATGTGTCTGTCTGATAGTAAATATGATACGTGACCAGTTCGTGATCTGTAATTAATTAATTTCTGTTTGATGTAGTTAAGAAAGAAATTGTTCAATAACTTATTAAATAACTTACCTACGCTTATTTTCGTATTTCAATACCTATTTATATGCCTAAAATCGAGGTAGTGCTATGTGATATTGTATCGTTTACTTTTTAGGTGGATTTATAGAAGTGAATTATCGGCTCATAAATTGCGTGTAAAAGAAATGAATCTGAATTTATTAATTAATTTTAATTGATAATTACGAAATTATTTACTTTTAGAGAAGAGTTAACTAATCAGATTTTAATACAGTATATTCGTTACTTGAAATGCAGCATATTACTGTAGTTTGTAAAAATTATTTTTTTGCATTTAGGCTAGCCTGTTTTTGTCTAAACAAAGTTAACAGGTAAATTTGCTATATTACGTATATAAAGATTCGATTTTATCTATTAAGGTTACGTTTGTATTCGAGTGAAACAATTGATAAAATAGACAAAAGATTATTATTTTCTAGTCTCGCGACAACTTTCGGTAAACGTACAAAGATCCTATATAAAAGGCCTGTGATCCAGTGGATCCACTTGATTCGGGTCCCAGACAAAGAAGGGATCCAAAAATTTAGACTTTTATACAGAAAACATAATACGAAAGTAATATAAGGTAGAGATTTAACTTTTTCGGCTGTTATATATAACAAAGTGATAGTGTATGGCGATCGGTCAAAAAAAGACCTTCCAGATTTTTTCATGTTTAGACTCAGGACAGCTTGAAACGTCGAGGAATGCAAAAAAATTTCGTGGGTTTTTTCTGTATGTATGGATGTTAGAGTGTTTGTGTGTGAGCAGGAATTTTGTTTACCCTTTTTGAAGCTGTAAGACTCAACATTGTGCTTTTTGTCGAAAATTTTTGAAACTTTGCACGGAGATTTGTTTATTAGGGGTCCATGCCATCAAATTTTGGTAGTTAAAGGTCGAGAGGGTGGGGAGATAATGGGAGTCGTATGTATCTCCGGTAGGGTCGGAATTAATGACAATTTTACTCGTTATTAGCATTTATAATTGTTTTTTTTTTTTAAATAAAAACTCATTCCTACCCTCAAAATTAAGCTTTTTGCCGTTTTGTAATAGTTAAAAATATAAAAATTTTAAAAATAAAATATGATAACGGATGGGACCGCCAAAATTTTAAATATTACCGGGAAAGTTAAGCAACTAGTTTCGTGGCAGTGGAGGATTTCCGAACAGTCGTATGCCTATTCTTATATGGGTCTATCAGTTCATATTCTTCCTCACGGAAAGCTATGGTTTACGATTAAATATTTTAATTATAAGTTATGTTATAATTTGCAAATATTTAGTCAATGTGAAAGCTTTAATTTTTAAATTAAAATGTAAAAAATAAAAACAGAGTGCTATTTTTTTCACTCTATGAGTACTAAGAGGGCTTTTTTGTCAGTTTCATGGTGAGTTTGGTCGGGCCCACAATGAAGCAGCCGGATGATGAGAGAGAGACTCGACATGTCCGGGACAGACCATTCCCCGGATTCGATCCTGGTGCTGAGGATCCGAGTGTTTTGGGTTAAAGCCGGATATCCTCACACTAGATCACGTGGAAACACAGTGTGTGATTGTTAACTAAAAATTCATTTACTTTTACGTTTTTGGATAGGACGGAGTGAAATGTAAATTAGTGATAGCGTTAATCATCTTTAGCTACCCTTTAATCTAGCCGTATAAAATATAGCAACCCGAACTATATACTGTATTACTTTTTTAATTGCTTTTCACGTGTCTACGTCTTAATACTAAACATTTTGTTTTTTTAGTTTCGTGAATTATAAGAATTAATCTTTTACATTTTGAAGTGTAGTCCTAATACTAGGTCAAGTATACTAATTATTTACGCTTTCTCGATTCCATGACTCTTATTGTTTCTTTCCTATCTAGTTTACTAGAATTTGTTTAATTTTCACCTGCATTATAGTTTTCGCTAAAATTTTAAATTTAAAACATTATACGGAGACTGGCCCAAAACTTAGTTAACCGTTATTTCACTTTGTGTATTTCGAATACATCTATGAATATGGAAGTTTTAGAAAATTGGTAAAAACCCAAAGAAAAATTTGTTTAGTTAATTAATTGCAATTTAAAATAGTTTACTGACTTTTGGGCCACTATATTATTAAGGAATTTACAATGATTGTATTAAATGCAACCGTATTCAACGTTTTGAATTGCTCCTCGACCGATTAATAGAATTTAACAATAGAAACATTATCGAAATTATACAGTATAAACAAATGATAATAAATAGGTGTTAGAGCTTTCAAAAACATTTTCTAATTGAAAATAATGGAGTTCAATCCCACATTTTTAAGGTTTTAAGTCGAGCCTTGTCACACTTTTAACTAAAAATGAGAGNAAAGGCAAGAGAGGTGAGCTGCATTCCACTTTACGCGGAGGAAACACATCAAAACTTCTAGAGATGGATGATGTCTAACTTTATAAAGAAAATATATACGAAAACTTTTAGAGATAAATGATGGTGGGCTTTATTATATAGGCCTATATAGGCCTATATATTTATTTATCAAATTTACAAATTAGAAAATACAGGATGGCACAAAAGTCAGTTAACCGAGACATTTTACAAATGGCTAAAACCAGTTTGGAGTAATTGCGTGCTGTGGTTCGCTATTCAGCTTATCCCAGTCTCGGTTAACTGATTTTTGGTCGCCCCGTAAATATTCAAATTTATTAGTAAAATATTCAATAATAAGAATAAAATTTGATTAATTGATCAAGAAATAAAGAAATAACATTATATTTATTCGTTAATAATTAAATATCCATTATTTTTAAATGAATATTTTCCATTTATTCGTAAAAAAAAATGCAGTAAAGACCGTTACAGAATTGAAATTTGTTATTATTAATTAAGTAAGCCTATAATAGCGTTGACCGTTATAACTTGTTCTGGTGCAATAATATCTCCTGCATTTTCCTGGATGATCTCTTCCTGTCAATGCCGCTTTTTTCATTCTGTTTTTGAAGTCGTCGCTTATAAATCTGTTGTTCAGGATGGTGTATATTATCCTATTTAAATAAATACAACAATTATTTTTATAAGATTTGTCTTTACTTAGTTTTATATTTTGCTTACTCTCTTATTTTCGAACACGATTTAAGCAGAATATTTACATCGTAAAGATTCAATTTTTATTTGATAAAAATGTTAGAAAAATGATTGAACTCTGATTTCTCTACTGCGGGGAAACAGTTCAATGATAACATATATGAGTTGAATTCGAATGAATTTGTGAGCGGAACAAGATTTTAATCTTAAATATACAATGCGTAATTACTAACTCTGAAATAATTACAGTCGTTCTTGTTAATTTATATTGACATATGTGAAATTTTATGATAAATAAAATGATTTAATCAACTTACAACGACGATACGTCCTTCTCCAGCTGTGACATAGAACTGGTATTATCGGAGAATTGACATACTAACTTTTCCAAACAGTGATTATTACTGTCCAACATGCCACTACAACCGAGATAAGTCGCTAATACTTCTTCATTATAGTCGTCGTGGGGTTTAACTTGTCTTAAATACTTCTGAATGATGTCTAAATCTTGGAAATTTCTCCTGGCATCTCTCTTAACGGTGCGGTTTGCAGCCTGTGTCAACGTCAGGAAGAGGATGTGTTCGACGTCCCTCTTTCTCCTACCCATGGTAATAGGCCTATTTTGAGATGTCATGACTGGAAGAATGGCTGCTAAGCCGGTAAGTGTAGCTCCCGTTATTATTGGTATGGCGGCAATAGGTGCCAAAAACGCTAAAAGCCCATCGATACTCCTCCTTTCGGGTCCTGGAGTCTTGAATCCGTAATGTTGAAATCTTTGATATTCCCATACGTCGTCTTCATTGTTGTAATCGGCGAAAGCTCTGTATTCTGGTGCTAAAATACGAAGAAATTTAATTAGAAACGCCTTGCTAGCGTGTTGGAGTAGATTAATTTAATTAAATTTAACAAATTCAGTCAGAAAGTTTAAACTTTAGCTTGCTTTTCTAAATTAATACAAGTTTTGTAAAAATTTGATAAGATAAGACACATATCATAAAGAATTTTCATGTAAAATTGAATATTAAAAGTATGATTGATGAGGAATTACCGAATTCTTCTCCGGTGATCTGAAGAGCCAAGAGCATCAGAAAAAGTATCGATGAAACACGCAAGAAACTCATTCTTCAAAAATAAACAACAAGAGATAGAAATAAAGTAATTCGATAGTTAACTTTAAGCATTAGGCTAAATATACTTAAATGACAATCGGTGCTTTCTTTCCAACTTATCAATAGTGAAAAACATGATAGTTCCTCGGGTCCATTCGTAACTTTTCCTCAAACTACAAAATCGCTTGGGCAAGAAACGATTTTTGTATGCCTTTTGCAGCCCAGGTAATGCCCTAATAAATAGTTACAATAGGCAGTATACCATTTAAAATAAAGTTACCTCCCCTATCTTGTCATGCGTAGAGTTCTGCATGAGTTATGAAATTTTGTCGATATAATTTTAAATAAAAAAAAAATTATTCATTTGTATTAATCGATAATCGGCTTATGTTCGTGTTTTATTTAATAAATTTGTAAATTATTGATATGTTTAAGTCCATTACTTTTCATTTGCGTGAGTGAAACTCCTTGGAAAATATTCTGGATAACGTGTATGATTGTTTCACGCAATAGGTTCTATAGAAGCTGTGTTTATAAAGATACATTTATTTTCTTCCGAACAGAAAAAGTATATAGGTTATATATATATAAATACTGGTATAAAGCGAATTAGTTTTTTTTGTAATTATTTAGTGCAATCTTTTAATGCGAGAAGTGCTTAAAAACTCTTTGAATTCCTTATGAAACAGTTTTTAATTTAAAAAAAATCTTTTTTTTTTTTCAGAAAATGTGTTTAAAATTATTTTTTAAAAATTAAAAAATATTGTGTTTATGTCCGTATTTGCAAACGTTTACATACATTTTCTACACCAGAAATACAAAGACTGTTTCTAAGAACTTTTATCCTTTCAATTCCAAATGAATTCTTTTATGAAAAAAGTGCTATCGTTTAAAATATATAAAAAAGGTACAAACTATTGCATACTTTTACATAATTTTGTTCATATAAACGTAAATCCATGTACTTGCAATCCATTTACTGCGCTTAGAGTAAACAGTTAATATTATGGTGCAAGAATCTGTAACGTATTGTTTAGTGTTTTTGGTCTAACAAAGGACGAAGTGACGTACGAAATATTAAAATTGCGTGGATTTTTCACTTTAAAAGTTGAATTATTTTGAAGAACAGCTGCAGCAACGATGGGTAAAAGTTACGCTAGAGTAATCTTTGCATGCAACATTAGATCCTAAGTCAATGTTTACTCATCTAATAAAAAGTTTTGAATAGGTTAATTATTGAAGTCTAAATCAATAACACTATTCAGTGTCGTAACTAGCCATTCCTGTGCCCTGTGCAAGAATTTGCATTTAGGCCCCTTAATTAATTAGGTTTGGGAAAATAATAAAACAAATACTTGCATTTTTGGCCCCCCTTCCAAGTGGGCCCTGTGCGGGTGCACCTGTTGCACCTGCCTAGATACGGCACTGACACTATTTAAAATATTTTTAATATTGTTACTACAGTAATAAAGTTACATATGTATTAAGAAGAGAATTAAAGATACTGTTTAGTCGCTATAAATTTTATACTTAAATTTGAAGCATTTTTAGTATTCGCATTAAAATTTATGCAAATACTAAAAATATATTTAATGTTCTGCATAAATTTGAGGAAATTTATGTGTTTAGGTTCAGGAGGAGAGAAACTCAGTGTAAAAGCCATTAGGCTAAATAGAATAAGAATTATCTAATGACCGATTTAAGATTTATAAACAAGTGTCATTATCACAATGCCGGGCTGCATTTTTTAATTATATTTTTAATTTATTTAATTTTGTCCAACATGCCACTACAACCGAGATAAGTCGCTAATACTTCTTCATTATAGTCGTCGTGGGGTTTAACTTGTCTTAAATACTTCTGAATGATGTCTAAATCTTGGAAATTTCTCCTGGCATCTCTCTTAACGGTGCGGTTTGCAGCCTGTGTCAACGTCAAGAAGAGGATGTGTTCGACGTCCCTCTTTCTCCTACCCATGGTAATAGGCCTATTTTGAGATGTCATGACTGGAAGAATGGCTGCTAAGCCGGTAAGTGTAGCTCCCGTTATTATTGGTATGGCGGCAATAGGTGCCAAAAACGCTAAAAGCCCATCGATACTCCTCCTTTCGGGTCCTGGAGTCTTGAATCCGTAATGTTGAANCATTTTTTAATTATATTTTTAATTTATTTAATTTAAAATGCTCTCCTCAAATTAGTACTGTACTTTCTTGCCCCGGTACATCATACTTTTCCTTTAACAATAAAGTCGTGCAGGTCATCTATTAACTGCTTTCAAGGGAAAGTTTTGAATTGAAATAACGTGACTTCATGTTCGCATCGGAAGTTCCTATATAGTTAATTTGGGCCTCCTGTTCCTACGGTTTCCATATCTAGTCTCGGCTTTCATCTGTCTAACTCCATTCTCAAAATTAAGGAAAGACAGAAGGACAACAGTGGGAATTTATAGGTTTACAATTTTTTCAAATTGCAGCCCAATAAACTTACGTCTATAAGCAACTCACTTATCTAGTGGTACTAACACTAGCAGTATGATATCCAATTATATCGGTCTAGTGTTTGATTCCTATAGTGCTACAACTAGAAGTTTAATAATATTGCTACAGTGGCATTGTGCTGAAGATTCTTATAATATCATGCTTATAATTTCTTAATGTAATTTTGCAACAGTAGGTTTATCTCTTAATTAAATAGATTAATCAGTTTTCTTTTAACAAGTAAATGTTACTAAGCTTATAATCTTAATAATATAATTCAATAGGGCTGCTACATCATTAATGCAGATTGATTTATGTACAGTATTAGAAAAGAATTAATACCCAGTGTTGCCCTAAGTTTGAATTAGGGGCCCGTGTTCAATGTTGACTTCAAATATTTTTCGAGGGAATCCTCGGTAACCTGTACAGAATATTCACTATAGTAGCACCCAAATTCGCTTAATTAAAGTCAATTTTATAGGAAGATTGAGATTTTATACGAAAATCGTCATCAGATAACGATAGGACTATTGCACGTGCTTTTATAATGCTTGAATTCAATTTTGATCAACATCCAAGAAAGTAATTACAATTAACACAATGTGCTTGTTCATAATCATAATTAGCGATTTAGTTCAATAATAATTGTAGCGTGTAACTTTCAGTCTCGAGTAACATCCACTTAATTATTATTATTAATAGACAGTTAATCGTTAAGAGAAAACTCCCAATCTCTGTAGACGATTTAATTAAGATAATCGACAGTTAGTTAATTGGTATGCATTAATCGCCATTAAATCTTAGATACTTAAAATGAGTTGGACCTCTAAAATTGTTGATATATTATAGTAAAATATAATTAAATAAGAGGAGAAATAAGAAATTTAAGTTTAATTATGTAACAACAATTGGATTATAAAAAATATAGATAAAAATAATATTTAACATTAACACTATTCAGTGTCGTAACTAGCCATTCCTGTGCCCTGTGCAAGAATTTGCATTTAGGCCCCTTAATTAATTAGGTTTGGGAAAATAATAAAACAAATACTTGCATTTTGGGCCCCCTTCCAAGTGGGCCCNTAAATAATAGTAATTAGATTATAGGAATATTAATAACAATAGCATTTTGATTTCATTACTTTAATATTATACAAATTAACTCTTTTAATTTTAATTAAATTTAATTACAGTTGTGAATCTTAATTGATTTAATTATATTTAAAAACGTTTTATAAAATGTAATTAGAATAATAAAAAACAAGATTCGTTATTTATTTAAATATTTAAATATCTTATTTTAATTGCAATTATATCTTCAATTAATTAGTCGTAATTGACATTATACATTTACTATTAGTAATATTAAATATTAATAAAATAAGATTATGTAAATACGAGTAAATTGCGATTAAATTCCAAGCTTTAGCGTAATTAAATTATTTTAATCAAACGACTTGCTTTAACAATTAAATTTATTGAGATTAAAGGTTCGCCTTTAATAATAATAATTTTCTGTAGAAGATTCTTATACTCAAACATAATGATGAGCTAGAAAATTAGCCCTTAATTATAATTAAGTGCTAATGCTTTCTAGCTGTAATTTTATAATGGTAATTAATAAGTATAAAGTCAAAGATTGAAATCGGATGTATTAATTTGTAATTATAAAACTTTCTTCTTAAATTAATTGCAACTAAATAGTAACAATCCAATTAATTTTAGCGAGATTGACTGGAAAACGAAGCATTTGTTAGCACCGTTCTAATGGAAGACACTTTACGTTCACTAAGAAACTCCATTAAAACATCTCCGGATACGTAGCTGACA